TATAAAAGCCTTTCTATTATGTCTTGTTTTAAAATAATTTTTAAAGTTTCTTTAACAAAGTAACCTTTTAAAAAATTCAAAGTGGCAATACAGCGCCAAGTGTAACAGTCAATTTTATATGGTAGGAAATAGTTGTGCATTGTTCCGATGGAAGAGTAAATTTGATAAAGCGCTATATTTGTTCAGTGAAAATGACTATTCAGCACGGTTGAATTCTCTCTACAATATGTCACGGGAACCTACTCCAATCATTTTAATCGTAAACAATGCTGCTGCTGCTTGCAGTGGGTTAAACGCATGCAAATTGGAACCTACTGTTTCATGAGTGATCAATTCTTTGTTGGGGCTGGAAAGAAATGCTGTATCTATTGCTAAGAGACTGGAGGAAGACTTTTCGTTCTAAAGTCTGCATCTCATCAAGATGCTGCACTGGAGGCAATGCTTTCCTGTTTCTCATCTTTTTAAATAACTTAGCCTGCTCTGAAATCATTGGAAAAATCTCTAAAGAGAGGAACATGTACCATTTCTAGTGCAGACCCCAAGTATAAATAGAGCTATGCATGCCACCTGTGGTAGCAGATGGCAGCCATTCACAGTTTCCTTTTGTGTCAGACCTGCATTAGATGCAATAATTGCTTTTATGTTTTAATAAGAGTTGTTTAAAAAATCTACAGTGGCAACAAAACACAGATATATGTATTAAAGAGTTTACAGCCAAGATAAAGTGCAAACTGGAACCTAAAGTAACTTTTAAAAAGTTACGTTACAGGCTTTAATGTGAATTTATAGTGTTTTTTCATTTGCGTGATGTTGATTCTTTTGTTTGCCACGTAGTGGTAAACTGCTCTTGCTTCACTGTAGATAATCAATTGGGTTTTCATGATCAGAACTACACTTGGGAGTTTCTAAATAACACCTGGAGTCTCCAGGTTCAGTACCTGAGCTTAGGAGATTATCATGCTGAATTTTTTAGGTTGTAATTAAATATGCATTATCCATTCATGACAGATGCATCTCGTAGGAAGTTCCCTACTGGTGCAGTTCAGCTCCTGCCCTCCCTTATGCTGATACAGGTATTAATGGAGCAGAAATGAAAGAAACCAATTCTTTCCAGAAGAGTAATTAAAAAAAAAAAGTAATTTCAGTGTTTTGGGGTGTGGTATTGACCCTAAAGGGAGTGTCAGTGGGAAAGGGAAGAGAAGAGAGAGAGCCTGGAGTTTCCTAAGTGGTTTTCTTTGTTAGAAGGAGCATAACCCACCTTATTCTGGTAGTGAACTGAAGCTCAAGAAGATGCTGCTGCTGTAATGATATATCTATCTGGTGCTCACAATGTTGTGAGGAAAGGTATTTTATTCCCCTGATTACCTTAGAAATGTCAGTTATCTGGAAATTCAGCAGTGTTCTTCCCTGTAAGTTAAGTTACGTAGTGCAAGAGTGCTGCAACTATGAAGGGCTTTTCTCTAAGCCCTCCTATCTCGGGGGGCATGGGGGGGAAGAAAGGAAATAATTTCTTTATTTCAGGGTTGAAGAAAAGGCTTATTTCCCTGCTCCAGACTTTCAGAGAAAAATAAAGTCAATTTCCAGATGGAAAGAATGAGAGCCATGACGAGAGGCCAATACTAAAAAGTGTTTGCGCTTCTTCAAATTGCTCTCATCTATCCTTTTGACACCTGTGTCAACTGGTGGTATAAATGTTTTGAAAACAGGCATGTAGAGCAAATTGGAAGTTGCAGTTATGATGGATGGGTAAATGGAGTGGAGAACTGAGTATGCTGAAATGCAAGTGGGATTTAAAATTCTATTAGATGTACTTGAAAGATTAATTAGAGAAGATATAAAAATTATCCTGGAGGCAGTGGAAAGCAGGATGAGAAAGACAAACTGGCCAACAAAACTGTTGCAGAAGGGAAGACTTTTTTCGTAGAGATAAAGTTAGGATTTGCCAAATTCACAATGAGTTGATAATGATGTTAAAACCCTCCTAAAGTTAAAATATTCTTTAGCTGTTTTAATAAAATTAGTAAAAAGTGTGGATGTCATGCAATTGGAGTATAGCTGAGGAATGGTTTAGTCATGGACTCTAGACTAAATTAATAAGGAAAAAGCCATGGACCAGTGGGGTAAAAGCAAGATACATACTGGGATCTAGAAAAAATAGTAGGAAAAAAGGTGTTTCCAGCAGAAATAGTTACAAAGTAACCAACACCAGTGAATGCCTTTGTAGTCATTTGCATTGGAAATAGTGGATACAAGCTGGAACAAATGCAGAGGAAAGCTGTGGGTTCAGCAACTTCAGAACTGTTTTGTGAGAAGGAAATAAAAGCTTGGGGTTATTTGTTTGGGCTGCTAAAGTTAGAGATAGATAGATAGACAGACAGACAGAAAGTCAAACACACATGCAGGGAAGCAGAAATTTTAAGGGAAAGAACCATTCTAAAACAAAGGAGATGTATAGAAGTTGGTAATCAGAAAACCTGGAAATTAGACAATAGACAGTAATAAGAGCAATAGGATTCTAATAAAGCTACTCATTTGTAATAGGGAGAAGCTTTATTCCTTTTAGGCTGAAGCTTGATAACTTTGTAAAGAGTGTATGGTGGACCTCTGATAATGCCAGAATAATTGCAAGTTGATGACCCTGGAGATATCTTCAAGATTTATGTTAGCATAGTGAGGGATATTTTGTGTCTACAAAAAAATCGAGCATCATACAGAAAATCAATCAATTTTTTAAAATAAAATTAACATTCCCTGCCTTTAATGCTAGTGAGGCCTTCTTTTTAATTAAAAAAAGTTAATTTTTTATATGGTTATGACAAATTAAATTCAAAGCTATGCCAGTTGTACCTGGTAACAAAAGGCGAAAGAAATCTGCAGTACAGGATTGCAGAAGATGCTGTTACAATTTGAGGGAAACTCAAACAAGAAGTCTCACTTCTGATGCAAATCTTGGGAACTAAGAGCTTGATGTGAGTATGGGCATAATGGTGTCATTCTAAATTCATGAAAATAGCTTTACAAATGAAGGAGAGGCAAAGTGGGGTCAGTGCAGTTCAAACACATGATGACAATTTTAGCCTAAATAGAATGCTCTTTGTGACTAGATGAATTAATTACTGTAAAACAGTGCTCTTGCTTGTCATTCTGATTCTTTCTGCTTGTTAATCACTCCTAAATTGTAGCTATTGCAGTAATATTAAGATTTATTGCTTACAAAATTTTGCTTATCTATATTCTAGTTTAGTGTTTCCTCGTGCATTAATGTAAATGTTTTGGAATGTTTCTGATTTTATATTTGTTTTGTCCTCTGCAGTACTCTTTTTCTGCCTATTAAGTATTATTGTTCCACTGGAACACTGTATAACTGTTTTAGATGTTTTGCTTTCATAGTCAAGTTTGATTTATCTATTCAGCAAATTTGATGACATACCAAGTCTGAGCTGAGAAAGAGATGACTGTACAAATAATAAGTTCAAGTGGCAATGAGAAGGAATATCTGTAGAATGGTTTAGCTTACTCTTTGTGCCTCATTGGTCTTGTAGCAATTGCAGTGTTTCCCTTCTTGCACTGGAAAACTCCTGAAGGTACTGACAGAGCTCAAGTTTGCTGTGAATGGGATGAAATTTCCTGTGTTAATCACACAGAAAACTTGAAACATGAAAACTGGGAAAATTCTTACCCAGAATGATGAATTATAGTAAAACTGAAACAGAGTAAATAATAATAATAGGGAAATGGAGGCTTATTTATTTGCACAAGGAAACACTTACCTTGAATTGTACAAATTACAGTGGTCTTACCAAGTGCTTTTTTCTCATTGCACTTTTTTTCAAAGAGCTGCTTTGGAAAAAAAATAATTCGGAGAATTAATCTTTTATTTATCCAAACTATTCTCTGTTCTTTCTATGTGGTTTTTTGTTGTTTAATTGCAAAGACCATTTGCATAAAAATGGGATTTTAAGACTTGAACAGTTTCTGATATTTTTTCCCAGATACATGGAGTAAACAGTATTTATTGTAAACGAAAATAATTTTTGTTTTGTAAAACTTCCTGCATGCTTTGTTTACACTGAATTATTAATTAATATTTGAGAATATAGTTTTAAAAGTTGCATCGGAAAATATATACTGCTAAAGTATAGAATTCTCTTCTTTTTCCCCCTCCCCATCATGTCTTCTCATTTCTCTGGTGAATTAAGCTACACCTCTGTAGTTCCTCCATTCTCTAAAATAAGCAGCATCTTATGCTACACCCAAATCTTTTAAATCAGACTGAGTTTGCAAAAGTTGTTTCAGATATTTTTTTGTCTTTCCAAAAGATATTTGTAAAGATTTCTTAAAAAAGAAAATAAAATGATTTATAGTAAAAATTTCTCAAAGTGAGGTGGAAATTCAGAAATGGAAGTTTGATTGGGATGTATGATCTGGTGAAGCTTGCTAATGATTGCCAGAGATACTCCTTTAGTTTGGGTACAAAGTGGTCACTGTATTATGGCAAAAGTAGAAAGGAGAGTGTCAGTACCTTGCCATACAGGTTTTGATAGCTGAACTTGATTATGTATATCTGATCAGTAAATAGTTGAAAAATTTCTTGTGTGGTCTTCCAAAATGAATTTACTTCCGAAGTGTGCATTAAATTCTGGAGTCATTAAATTCTGGATTGACAATTTAGTAATGTTTTGTGTTACCATGTTTAATATTTGTAATGTTTAATATTGTAGTTAGATTTACTGTTTAGTTTATGCTTTTTGGGAAGAAGACCTGTATTTTTCCTAATGTTCTCCAAGCTGGATGATTGTACAACAGATCTTTTTTTGATTATTTTCATGTATTGACTGCTTGGAAAATGTGAAAATTCTAGTATAAAAGAGTAAATTTTATTTTTCTATTTAATTATAGAATAAGAAATTTTTGAATTCATGTTTGAAGTGTGGAATACTGAACTTCAAACATAAAATAATCCGTTATCTGAAATTTAATTATTATTTCTATTAATTTAGATTTCTCATATTGGAAAGCTGAAAGATTTTCTTCTACAACACAGAAAGGATTACATTAATGCTTACAGGTAAGTATGGACTGTGCTTAAATTGCCTTATCTATTATTTATTGATTTATCTTAATGCTTATAAAGTGAACTGCTTCAAAACTTATAGGCATAATTACTAAAACCAAACCAGAGATTGTTATTAACTGGCTTATTGTAAACCACTATAAGATGGAAGGATAGTGCTGTCACAAGAAAACAGGGTGCCTGGATAAAATGAGACTCAGAATTTGAAGATGATATCTGGCTCTTAGGAGTGAGTTCTGAAAGAAAACAACCTGGCAGTCCAAGTCCCACACCTTTGAAGGACCTGCAGAGTAAGTTTCTGAAAGGGTTCCTGGGACAGCAGGGTGATCCAGGTTTTCCCTTTTACTCTGTGACACTAAACCTATCTATCATGCCACAGTATAAAGTCAGTAGCATCAACAGGTCCTGGAGGACAATGATGCAAACACTTCAGGCTCTGGAAGGTGAATTCCAGATGAAGAACACCAGTGAGGAGATGGTGTCAGGGGACAGCAGCACAAGATTTGTTTTTCTGTGATAAAAACCATAGACTTCAGCTCTGGTAGTTATCATTGTGTGAAGAAAGTTGTGATTCTCTTCAGCCACTAGGAAACATACAAAACTGCTGTATCTGCTTACTTGTTGGTAGCTTTAGTAGTAGGATTTTTAGAAGATTAAAATTAAAATTTACAAGTTGCTGTTTGTAAGAAAAAAATAGTATCTTCTGGTCTGCAGATACTAAATCAAGTTATAAGATATAAATAGTGCAGCTTGTATTTTGGTGAACTGAGTGCAAATCATTGTAGCATTTGAGAAATGTAAAATTTGCTTTGTAGTGAAGCTTTGTTACGTGCAAGCCAGGTGAATCAGCCCTGTCTGCATTCCAGTTCTGACACAGCCCTGACTAAAGCTGTTGCTTCAATCAAGGTAGATAAAATATAGCCTAAAATAATTTTGGGTTAAAAACTTCCTAGATACCAAACAGAATTGCTATCCAGACAGATATCCTTTCCCCAGGAAAAGACAACAAGAATAGATGAACCATCTGCTATTCCTTAGGCTTAGTCCATATTGGAGGAACAGTTTTGCTGAGAAACAACTCTAATCCTGAAATGGTCTGTCACAGTAAGAGCAATAGTACCTCATCAGTGGAATCAATGTGTGTTCTGAGTAAGTTATCAGAAGACTTCTGGCACCTCTGTTTGTCTCCACAAGAGTTTAAAAGCTGTATTTTGTTATTTTGAGAACAAAACAAAAAAGGAAGATAGCTTCTTTTCTAAGTGAGAGGCGGTGGGAGCTATTCAGTCAGTGCTGGTGAAAATGCTGCCCCGGTATGCATAGTTGTGTGTGAGAGGTGGATGAGGGATGCTTTTCCAAGGAGCAAGCACGAGTAGTGCACAGCTCTGTGTTATGACTGGCTCTCTGCTTTTCAATGCCTGTTGGAATAGGGCATGGACAACACTAGGTGGAGCCAGCAATTTGATACTGACAAAACTGGGTGTACTGTGTGAGAACTTCATGTGCTTGCAGAGGTTGAGAAAGTGCAAATAATTCCAGTAAGAGCAGTCAGTAGCAGTTAAATTTTGGGTAGTGTTTCTATTTTATTAACAGTAGTGTGCATAAAATGGAAGTGGTTAGAGTAATAATGTGTCCAGGTTATTTTGATTTCCAGAAGTTTTTAATATTCTTTTTGTAAACAAGTTGCAACAAGCTATCCTGGTAATTCTCAGTGCTTTTCACCTTCCTCTCCCCCATCCAAGTCTCCATTAAAGAGAGGAAAGAAGTGTCATTTCCTTTATTAAACCATAAAATAATCCTGCAGATCTCATCCATGATTGCAATTGATTCTGTTCTTAATGGTCAAACTTAAATTGTTTATGTTTAATTTGATATAAAAATGCCAAATTCCATACTAGATTACTTGTGTTTGTACGTCATGGATGCAAAGAGTATCATAGCATCTGTGCTGTCAGTCTTGCAGTCGTAGCAAATGCCTCACTCACTCAAGACAGCAGTTTTAACAACTCTTCAATAATTAAGCAATGGGGACAGTTTTTGAACAATTTAATTACTAAAAGGCTGAGCTGAAATTAATGTAGGAGATGTCAAATTTCATTAACAAAATTACTGTTCTGTATTTTGTCAGTCCTGCTGTTTGTTTTCCCAGCTATAGCACAATGTATTGGTGAAATTGAGCTTTTGAGTTGTCAAGTCATATTATTGTGTGCCTTTTAAAACTTCTTCATTATGTGTTACAACCAGGTTCTTGATTGCTTCTCTAACCTTACCATTGAAGATTATGAATTCTTTAGTAATTGAGTTTTTATTTTTGGTATACATGAAATATCCTGCTACAGAGGGTATGTCTTTAATTCCTTTTTAGAGGAAAATTTTTAGCAATGAGAAAGTCAGTTGGATGAGTGTTTATTTGAAACCAAGGCATTGAACCTATTTTTTTAAACTTTAACTAATACCTAAACTGACTTAGTAATTGATTATTTACCTTCTTCTTGATTTGCTATTACCTACAAAATATCTAAGTGGCAAAAGACATTAAATTCTTGATGTAATAATCTAAGCTTGCTGGCTTACAGGCCACTACACCTTTATCTTGTCCTGTTTATTAGGTATTATTTCCTTTCCCTTACATGTAGGGTTTTTGCCTTCATGTGATAAGGAATTTTTTGTCATGGTTTTAACCCCAGCTGGCAGCTTAGCCCTACAGAGCTACTGGCTCACTGCCCCCATAGAGGGATGGGGGAGAGAATCAGAAGAGTAAAAGTGAGAAAACTCATGGGTTGAGATAAAGGGAGTTTAATAGGGAAAGAAAAAAAACCACATTCCCAAGCAACGCAGAGCAAGGAATTCATTCACCGTGGACAGGCAGGTGTTCAGCCATCCCCAAGAAAGCAGGGCTCCATCACACATAACAGTGACTTATGAGGGCAAACACCATCACTCTAAATGTCCATCCCCTTCTTCTGTTCTTTCCCCAGCTGTATGTGCTGAGCATGAAGCCATATAATTTGGAATATCCATGTAGTCAGTTGGGGTCAGCTGTCCTGGATGTGTCATCTCCCAGCTCCTTGTGCACCCACAGCCTCCTCACTGGTGGGGTGGTAGGGTAGGAGGCAGAGCAGCAAAGGCCTTGGCTCTGTGTAAGCATTGCCCAGCAATAACGAAAACATCCCTGAGTTATCAGCACTGTTTCCAACACAAATCCAAAACATAAACCCCGTGCTTGCTGCTGGGAAGAAAATTAATTCTATCCTAAGCAATATCAGTGCATGCGAGTTGATCACTCTTCCTGGAAAGGAGAAGACAGGGACTCCTGAAGCTGTTAACAAGATGTTAACAACTTTTTCATTTTTTCTTATTAAGCAATAACTGCTTTCAGATGAAGATTTCAGATGAGGTCCTGTTTCTAGGATATTGACTGCTATACATTTTGTATTCTTCCTCTCAGTCCATTTACTATAATGCTTTCCTACAGTGCTTTTTACACTGTGCTAGGAGAGATCCTGTCTTCAGTCTATGGTAACTTGTCTGATGTCTCATCTGTGAACACCTTCTGCCTTTGCTTTTCAGCATCAACTCCTTCATGTTTTTGATCACTGAACCACCAAGACAATTCATATGTTTGTGTTAAATATACTTCAAGAAACTAGATGTAGTGCCCTAACACTTGGAAATTTGAAATGACCTCTTGGGATTCCTTTACAGCCTTCAGTTTCTCTGAAGGATCTTTCAAGGTTTAGGCAGTTTAAAGACCAGTAATTATTCCTACTGTTTTAATGAGACATTGGAAAGGAATTGAGAGAATTCTAGATTTTTATCAGAGAACACCTCATACTTAAAAATACTTGAGAGAAGAGCTTTCCATCTGGGATTATTAGACATCTAATTAATTGTGTTTTGCAACTGCAGAGATACTTATGTAGTTGATCAGTGTAGTGTAGATGACTTCTGAATAGAAATGTCACTTTTTCCACCAGAAAGGCCACATGGATGGCTTTTGATGTATCTTCATTACATGCTTCTGTGGTCCTTCTGTGCAGCTGTGTTTGAACATTTGTTGTTAATTGCAAATAATATACCTTGAAAATATTATTAACAAATTACCTTTCTGTCTTTAAAAATAATGTTAGTTCACAGTAATTATGCCTCCTGCCCTAGCATTTATCTAACTTAAGCATTTCTCTGTCTCAAGGCAATAAATCAGTTACATCATTGGCCACTTAATAGAAAATCATTGAGTGCTTATGCAGAGTTTTGTGGAGAGTGTTTCCTTGTATTTAATAATAAAGGAAGTAGCCATTAAAGGACTCTAAAAATAGCGTTTTACTGACTCCTGTACAATGCCAGGCTGCATTCTTTTCTCGATTTAGTCACATTTTTACTAGAAGCAAGGCTTGCTTTATTGTATTGAGGTAGTAAAACATATAGATGATCTCTAAAGACTTTCTTCCTGGAGAAGTATATCTTTCTGTTCTCCAGGAAATTATTTGGAAATAATTTATGTTATTTTGTTTGTTTGTTTGTTTGTTTGTTTGTTTTTAAATTACACTAAATTCATGTATCACATTTCAGAAATAGTAATTTTTCATAGTAGCACTCTGGAATCTCAGCAATATTTTACAAAATTGCAAATGCTAATTTGGGTATGGCTGTATTGCCTATTCTAGTAGCTGAGGCTTCCACACAGAATTTTTAAAAAACTATGTAAAAGTTGTTGTGGAATGTCAAATGACAAATCATTTGAATTGAGGACCTTTTAGCTTGGATTTATGCCAGACAGCATTTAGATGGAAAAAGGCAGTAAATGAAAATGCATAAAACTTAGTTAAGTAAGAAATCAAACAATTTAAAATATACTAGATGCCCAAAGGGAAGAATGTGACTGCTGGATTTGCCCCTAAGGTTATACATACTCCTATGTGCACTTAACACATGGGGAGCATTTCTGTATGGATTTGCAAGGCAGTATCTGCAGGTGGTAAATTGAGCAAATCTCT